TCTTCCCTTTCGCCCTACCCTCACTTTCAATTCAAAGCACAAGTTTCCCATCAATTGTGAAATCACTTGCAGAAGTATTAAAATCGCAGATCCGTGCAAGTAGTGAATCCACTGGTAGTGTAGCTTTTGAAGGAAGCGCTTCTGAAGCAGCCAGCTGAGTGGCTTTAGTAAGTGGTCTATGACACTGATGGGTTCTTAATGCTGTATTCTACAGTGCTTCGAAGTGTCTGCTTATCTGTAAATAACGAATTTGTCCATGGTATTAATATTTATAGTCAAGGCCCTCAAAAACCTTAGACTGAAAACGGTTTAGGATGTGACTAGTATTACTTCCTGAAGGTGCACTAGTGAATCCTTTGAAGCAGAGTGAAGTCACTACTTGTGATATCTAGAATCTGAAAGTCAACCACAAAACTCAACCCACATCAATATCCAGTTTTGAAAATAGTAGTCACAATTATAGAAGTGACTTTCAGACAGCTGTATTATATCTAGCTGCAGCCACTCCCTTTATTGCATGCTGGATGTCTGCTTCCAAGAGGACAACAAATGGCAGAAGATCTACGGAGATGGAGATGTAGGACTTAATCCCTCTGATAAGATGGGTGAAAGGGAGAGACATGAAGGTTGCTCGGTACTGTCATTAGCGTTTGTAGTAATTATGAGGAATAACTGTTCTAGGTTTATGCTGGTTTGAAATTGAATTTCCTGTGTTTGCTTTAGGAATTATTGCCATCTTTACAGAACTGGTACTTGATACCAAGGAAGTGACATAGTGGTGAGGAACGAACAAGGTGACTTAACAATTGGAGGAGCGGTCAAGCTTTCAATTACTTTGCACAAAGATTTAAAACTGTTGAAGCAATCCTTGTGCTAACAGCTCACCTGTTCCTATGGGTTTAGGTGTGAGGCTGGTCTAAAGCAATTTTGCAGGCAAACGTTGCAGGTGTTAATTGTGAGAATGACCAAGCTTTGCTTGCGTACTCAGCATAGGACTGAGCTGTTGCATGTGAGACCTAGTCAAATTAGAGGAAGCTGACTCAAGTCGTGGACTCTCTGCTGTAAACCTGGTTGTACATTCGCAGCTCAGGCCCAAGGTATTCTGTATTTTAAAACAGTACAGTAAAAGGAAGCCATCTGCACAAAACAGTGCTTTAGTCATTGTATTTGGTGTGTTTGTTTTGCTGTCGAATGTACTTAGGTTGTGATGCAGGTGACTTGTGAAGCTTTCTGTCAGCTTATTAAATTTGCTTCTTGCTACCAGGGTGCTGAGGGAAGAGGGACTAAGACGTTTCCTTTTACCTGGATGGCCTCCGGCCAGTAACTGGAATTCCTACTTTCAGCTTCACGTTTCCCTGGTTAGATTTCTGTGGCTGCCCTGTCTAGAGACGCTCCTCTTGCCTTCATAACCTGTGTCAGGGAGAGATGCTGCATCTCTCAAGGCAAGCCTTGAGTAGGAAGCCTCTTGAGAACTCCTAACACAGATCTTACCTAAGCAGCACCTGAAGCAGAGCTGTTGTCCTGTTTGACAATATGATTGCTACTCTTAAGGAGAAAAAAAAAAAAAAAAAACCTGACAAGGGGAGGGGATAGTTGGTAGCTGGGGTAGGTTGCTGTGCTATGTGGAAGAGAGAAAGAAGGATCAGCATATGAAGGGCAAGAGAAATGTCCTTCAGTCAAAATGCCACTGGTATATGAAATTCCAGCTGCTTTCTGCTGGCTTATGAGGTTTTAGAGGAGCCAGGGAATCAAAAGGTCCCCTGAAGACTTAAGGAGAGGTTTTCTGTCCTGAGGAGTGTGAAGAGAGCTGTGGATGCTCTGAGAGATGAAAAACTGTCTTTAGTGGAATAACCTAGGAGAGCAAATTTGGGGTTCTGGGTTACTTCTAGAGGGGCTTCAGGAGAGAGTTTCCTAGCACAGCTGTTTATCCTGTAACCGAACTGATAGCAGTGTAAAAGTTGAGGAACTAAATTTGAAAAGGGATTTTTATCCTCTTACTCTGAGAAACCAGGAGAAAATATGATTTTAGCCAGTGATATGTGAGAATCATTGTAGTAGAAGAAACCAGAGAGTTTACCCTGGGAAGCTTATCACAGAGTTAGTACGTAAGTCTGAGGGATGGATCTGTGGCTGCCAATGCTGATCGGAAGGGAGAGTGCCTGGAGGGAAGCTACGCAGGGCCAGGAGCAAAATACCTTGCCATACAGGAATACAATGCAGGAACTTGTTTTCTGCCAGCTTAGCAAGTGGAAGCGAGCGGAGAGAGAGAAAAGCGCAACTGTGGCAGCAAGTGGTTAGGTTAGCCTAGGCTGCTTTGGAAGCAGAGGCTTAATCTTCATAAGGCTTTAACTGGTTTCATGCTTGTATCTTTCCCAAAGGGTTTACTCCTGCTCTAGGAAGTCCTAGTGAGTTTGTTGAGCTCAGGGCAGAGCTTGCATGCCTAGCAAAACATCTGAGCAGAAGACGAGCTGTGTTGGGTTGAACCTACTTATGAAAGTCCAAAAAGAAGCATCTTTGAAGTCCTGATTTTCCTACCGTTTTGGAGCTCAGAAGCTAAAGAGGTGGCATGTGCAGGGGTAAAAAAAGTATGGGAAAGAACAGAAGTCTTGCTGCTGAGATACCATATTGATGTTGCCACATCAAAATGGTGCCTTAAGCACACAGAAGTATAGGCAGGCCCGGAAACCTCTTCAGTGAAGTGCACAGGAGGTGTTTTGAAGAGTTGAGGCAGCGCACAAGCAGCTGGTCCTACGTGCAACCACAGGATACAGTTGAGGTTTTGCCATCTCTGCTCGTTCTGTATGTTCTCTGCCAAGCTTTAGTAATCCAAATCCCTGTTCAGCTGGGAGTCTTGGAGGCTTATACTGCGCTGACTCACGTGAGCAAGCATCACATCTGTGGTGGTTTATAGCCCCAGGCAATTCGGACAGCAGTCTGAAGTGGATGTGGAATAAATAAATTACGGGCTTGGGGAAAACATAGGCGCATGGCTGCGTTTCAGAGGTGACTTGTGTTGAGTGTTAGAGATTGTCACTGCCAGTAGTTTCTGGCTGTTTTTGTGCAGTTGTACAGGACTTTGGAAAGCCACTGCAGTTCAGCAATCCATCTTAATTATATGGCTTCCCTGTGACTGATGAACAGAGGATGCAAGTCTGGTACGTGTTTGTGGACTGTGGTGCTCCAGACTATTGTGACTTATGCTTGTCCTATATATGTAGGAGGCCTCAGTCAGCTTCTGGTATCTTCTCCCCCCACCTCCCCCTTTTGTTTTTTCTTCACCAATTCTAAACTTTGCTTCTGTCGCAGTAGAACGGCCATGTGTCTTGTTTAAAGGTGCTTGACAAAAAGGTCAGTTAATTTGGGCGCAGACCAGTGGTTACAAGAACCTGCAGAAGTAGTACAGTATATGTTTTTCAAGTTCGTAGGAATCGAGCTGTTGTCAGTGCTGATGTGGCGAAGTTGCACGAGTGGTCAATGCAAGAGGAACAGGCCTGGCTGTCTGCTGGGCGGGAGGACAGGGCTTTCCTTTTTATCAGCCCCTGTTGTGTCAGAGGGAGTCCCTTCTCTCTGGTGGCCCTGTAAGGGCAACGTTAATAAGCTGCCTGTGCTGAGAGACAGTGGATGGCTCGGACTGCCCTCATCTAATGGTTGTGAGCTAGAATGGCCATTATCCAGGTTGGGGCTGTAGGTCTTTGCTGACCTGCAGAGGCTTGGAATAGCGAGAGTCTGATCTGAGAGGTCTTGAGCCCTCTCAGCACCCTTTGACTGGAGGTGGGATTTGTAAGGGATGGTCCTTCCCCATCTGCTTGTGGCAACTCTGCATGTTGTCCCTCGATTATGGGTGGGAAGTGAAAAGATTTGCATGGTTCCCTGAGTAGGATGTTCAACCCCCATTGTGGTGCAAAGATAAGTCTGTGAATCCGTGGGTTTCTCTGAAATGATGCAGGCTCTTTCAGGGTTTGGAAAGCTTTAGCTTAGCAATTTAATGCTGAGACTTAACAGAAGCTTTGCTGAGGGCACAAGCTGTATCGCAGGGACTGTGCATTTCTCTGTAATCTCAGTCTTTCTTTTTGTTCCACAGCCTTTGCAATGAACATATGTAATGCAAGGTAAAAAACCTTTAGTCACATGTGATGTATGTAGAAATTCCTTACGTTGTGGGTGGGATTTTTGTTTTGTGTCTTCTCTTTTAAAGACAACCAAGACCGGCTGTATGAACGTTTGAGATATGAACACATGGTTACAAATGTAAAGAGTACCCATCTGAATTAAGGGGCCCTTTTCTGGTCTTAAATGGATGTGCTTAATTACGTGTTGGAAGATCCATATTATTGTCATGCTAACTCTGTAATGGGGTTCTTCAACTTCATTGAAGAAACATGCACAAAAAATGAACTGTTTTATTATGCAGTAACATTTCTTAATTAGGTTGCATTGATATAAGGCTTCTTTTTGTACCAATAAAGGCATAAATGTTCTCACACAACCACTGTCTCAGGGTTAGTAAACATCATTTATTCCCTCAAAAGAGATGCTGTGGTTTACTTTAATGGAACAACATCTGTTCTTTCAGAATTAAATGAGTTCCCTGAACAATAATTAATAAAAATATTGCCACTAAATACAGCTGGTGCATTGTTTATAATAATATAAAACCATAGCAATGATAAGAAAAGAACACAGTAAGTGGCCCCCTGTCCCTGCCCCCCCGGGGGTCTCGGCAAAGAACTTCATTAGATGGTTGAGTTGTTGGTTTGAATGCTTAAACACTGATACAGTTCTTTTTGCTGTGACTGTAACTTAGCATTTTAACTTGGGAAAAGTTGATGTGTTCGTGAGAGCAATAACTGTATAAGAGTTTCTAGTTCTTGTGATTATGTGATGCTATGTACCGAGTCATTTGGAAGCTTCATACTAAGATGCTCCAGGCTCTGTGTGTGCGCGCAAAAAAAAAAAAAAAAAAATCCTAATGACTAATTTTATGCTATGTTTTTTCCCAGCAGAGTTCACAAGTAGTAAGAGCTGGTCATTGGCCTTTCATGCATGAGCAGACAGCAGTTGCTCATTCTTTGGATTGGATTTTGATAGTTGCAAATAGAAATGAAAATCCTCGAGTACGGCAGGAAGAGAATGGTGAGTGTGCTTTTTTTATTATTATTCTCAAAATACAAGACTGCATCTGGACATCACATGGCAAGTACTCTTCAGGTTTGATAGCTCTGTTTACTGCAGCTCTGTTCTTGGTCGTTCATTGCAAAGAGGTTTACCATCTTACATGCTAGCTAAACAGTTCTACCATCAGCTTGTTAACTTGTCATAACAGTGGTGTTATGGGTATGTGTTTGTAAACAATTGAATAATAAATTCCTGTCATGCAGTGATGCTGGATTATCTTTTCCTCTATCAGTAATTAAGGAGAACTAAATCTTTTTGCCCCCTTTTTTTCCCTCCCTTTGTGCGGAGTTTTGTTATTAAAGAGATATGGAGGACTGGGCAGTTCACTTAAAATGCGCCTTTAATTTGAATATCGCTGGTTCTAATTACTGTTTTCGATACATCTTGCCCTATTATATTAAAACATCACTTGATCTATAACTAAAGGCATCTATATGCAAGTCAGTTTTTAAAAGCAGTATGCTGGAATTTAGACTTCCCTAGAAACGTGTGCCTTCATGAAAAGGGAAACCAACGGTTAAACTTAGTGGGGAGAAAAAAGATTATGTTCCATTATAGAGGAAAACAGTTTCACACAGTTCAAGCTCGACAACTGTTAACTGTGCAGACTATTAAAGGGATAGAAATTAGCCTACGCACCAGACGCAGACAGATTGAATTCTTGCTGCTTGTCATGTAACCAGAGATAAAAGTATTTTCCGGTGACTCTGATAAAGGAAATGCTGTCATAATAACTCTGAGCTAGTCTCACCCAGATGTTGCAGGTTTCTTGCTGTGGTATTTATTCATAAATCTTGTTATAATATAATCAGAGAAAACATGTCTTGATTGCAACTATCAAACCTCTGTGACAGTGTTCCTGCAAATGCAATAATATTCCTAATGTGTTGACACACAACTTGTGCAATAGGTTACTGATATCTCTGAGCCTGCTGATTAGAACTCATCAATTAATACAAAAGTAACTTACTGGTCTCTGCAAATGAAAGGGGAGATGAAGTCCTCCGGTGCACGAAGGATTGGATTATGCCCTTTTTGTGTGTATGCATATGACTGCTGAGACTTCTACAATACTTGAAGCTCCCAAGGATTTTCCTATGTATTAAGTCACAAGCTTTCATAACTTACCCCTTTATTCATTGTACACCATTGTTGTTACCTGATCGTGGAGCGTAATACCATGTAATTCAAGAGCCTGGTTTTGTAACATACGTAGAGAAGAATATGAAGATGAAATGCAGTATGTATGAACGTGCCGTAGGGCAAAACAACGTGCGTAAACTAGGATATCACCGTTCTCTTCTCAAACGCTTGACTGTGCAGCAGCAGTAGTCGGCTTTTCAGTTCTCACTGTTAAATTGTATTTAAAGAAGCTAAAAATACAGATGCGTTGCTTTTCTCTGTGAGTAATCTGCCGCCCCTTCACGAGGTTGTTGCTCAGTTATCAGTGGGCTTCCGAGCTGATGGTTCTGTGAAGATGTGATTGTGCGGTAGCAGATGCTGTGAAGTTTCGAGAGGATTTGTGAATGCCAGGGAGAAGCAACTTAGTTTGGAAATCAGTACTGGGACATTGAACGTTCAGTATAACTCTTAACTGGAAAGAGCAAACGGGTAATTATCGTTCTGAAAGTTTAGGCTCGACGTTAGAGTTGGATTAGCTTTTTGCAGACTGAAGTGCTATGACAGCGTTGAGGGTATCGGTGAGTTATGACATGATTGCCCAGATGTGTCTTAGCAAGTTCAGGAGCATTCAAAACAGCTTGATGAAAGAAGGCTAAGCGCACTTGCTTATTTGACATGCAGTAGCTTGTTGCTCCCTAGTAACTTACTTGTGAGTCTGAGCCCACAGTGAGAGAAGCTAAGATTCTTGCTAAAATTTTGTAGCAAACTTGCTAGAAACAGATTCTCACACTGCAGGACTGAAAGAGCAGAGCTGAGGCTTGCGAGTGGCAAACTGAATCTCTGAGCCACAGCTGTGCAAGTCCAGTGGCTTTCTCTTTAGTGACATCGTGTACTGTTACAAATGAACATACTGAACCCCAAGAAACCATATCGCTCTACTGGAGGGGTTTTCTGTCCGTCTCTGGTCCCCGAAATCCAGTTCTTCCTCTCCCTTCAATACCAAGTTGGCTTATGTGGCTTCTGTGTTGCCCAGCCAGTTACTGTGTCTGTGCTTTGGTGCAGTGTGCAGAAGAGGTGTGGAACTGGTGCGCTATTACCTGGTTTTAAGGATTGCTACATCCTGCCTCGATGCTGTTCAGATATCAGAAAATTCTCTTTGATTCAAAATAGGTGAAGGTAAAACTGGAAATAAAAGAACGTAAAACATCCCAAATGAAACATGGTTTACAAACTTGGTCTGAGTTACAAATCGTTGTAGAAATGATAGGTGAAGAAATGAAAGAAAACCACCTTGATGTAATTTCATTGATCTACAAGGTTTCTCTCCCTGTAGAGTTCCTGTAGACTCTTTCCTCATGAGAGATTGTGTCATCCTGCATGCCTTACATCTCAGACTTGCTTTCCTCAAGCAAAGCTCTTGGTAGAGGATGCTAGCTTTTATACCTGACGACTGGTAGTCCTCTAGGGGTTCCTTTCAGTCATTCCATCTTCCCCTCCAAAATGCATTTACCTTTGAGCTATTCAGGGGATGTGTTTTTAGTTTCTCCTGCTAAAAGGAGACACTCGCTACTTTTTTTTTTTTGAAGATGCAGGTGCTACTTTTGCAGAGTGGATGACATTACCCATCCTGGACTGTCCTATGGGTCAGTCCTTAAGTTTGAGAGAGTTATCTTCATCCAGCTTGTACACTTTAGTGTACTTTAGCCTGTCTGTCTTCATGCAGAAGCTGTTGTGAAACAATGTACCTCATTTTCCGCCAAGGCGGATGCTTTGGGTGAAAAATCGGTGAAAAATTGGAGTGATTGACTCTTCACACCTGTCTGGTTTGGAGTGATTGACTCTTCACACCTGTCTTTGGTATTGTAACACAGAATTGAGCCACAAGTCTTGTGTATTCCCGGAACAGTCTTCATCCCATCTGGGCACAGGCTCTGAGCAGCTGTCTTAAACCTATGCCTGATTAACATCTCTGCCCTAGGTGTTTCTCTGCCTGTGTTTTGATGAGCTTAAGACAGGCTTGAAGCAGGTGGGAAAAGCTTATGCTCAAAAGCTATCAAACAGTAGGAACAATGATGTACTGACCAGACAATGTATCTGGGATGTAGGCAGCAAAGGCTTGATGCCCAGCTTTGGACATTTGAAAACATGCATCTCATCTCCCAGTAGAATAAGCTATATAACCTGGCAATTAAGGCCTTTTATGGAAAGGCTTGTGGCTGAGCAGAGAGTTGAACTAACTGCCAAGCTAATGACTTAGGGGTAAAGAATACAAAGTTAATTGTTGGAAAGATGGTTATTTAAGCCTCTATTTTTGATAATTTTTTGGGGGGGCTCAACTGTTAGAATATCAAGGCCAGCAATGTCTTGGTGAAAGACAGAGTAGCAAGTTGTATAGGACTGGGAGACAGATGTTTGGTGCAGACATGAAGGTCCAGGCACATACTGGAGGATGCATGCTCGGTATGTGCTAAGGGACCTTGCAGTGATGTGACCTGCTTGATAGTTTGGATGCTTGTAGCTGTAGCGCATTGCGTGTGTGCCTGGGGTGGTTTCGTCTGAAAGCAACCTTCTTCGTGCTTGCCAAAAGCAGTCTGATCCAAACCAAAAGTGGGGATGACCAAGACATTCCCTCTGAAAGCAGACTGGAGCTTGCAGCTGAAGTGTCATGTTCAGTTCCTCTTGCTGTTGCTCTGCTGGTGGTCTTGGAGCATGGATGGGTGCTTTGGGGCTAGGTGGAAGGCATCCTGTGTGAGCTGCAAGTTTAACTCTTCACCCTCATGTTCCTGAGCTTCTGCCGGTCTGGTATCTAGATGACTGTGGTATTTGCTGAACACCTGAGTCATGTAATGCATATAGGTGATTTACCTGTCGTGTCTTAATCTCGGTTGCTGTACAGCTTCTCTTTTTTTTTCAATACTGCAAAAAAGTAGTCGTTTCCAGGGCTATGAAGCATCTGCTAGTTAAAAGCTGTAAACTGTTTTTCTTTAGCTTTTTACTATCTCAAAGCCTGTATGTTAGGAAAGATCTCAGCAGACAGAACTAATATTGACTCACTGTCTCATGGGGCTGCATCAAAAAGCACTGCTGTAAGGAGGGCAGTCTAGGGAGTGTGGCCCAAAACTTAAAATAATAGCTGAATTTTAATCTCTATCAGCAAGGGAGTGAATCTGTACCAAGAACTACTGCAAGAAAGAAGACGTTTGGAGTGGAATAGACACCCTCCTGCAGGATGGCACTATGGCTTTTTGCTTATGACTGGGAAAGTTCAGGGTAAGCTTGCTGGGGGAGGAGGGGGAGGATGTTTCTGGAAAAAACATCCTGATGAAAGCCAGGCCCTTAATTTAAAAAAAGGCTGTCATATTGTCTACAGTCTGCTTATCAAGGGAGGATGGAAGACGCTTCTCCAAATTTATAGCCTCGTCAGCTTTTAAATGTAGAAATAAACTGAAGTAGAAAGAGTGGGTTATTTTAAAAAGTGATTATTTTCTGGAAAAGACCTCTGTCTTGTGTTTGCTCGTCTCCTCACGGCGACAGCAGGTCTCTGACAGCAGGGTGCTGCTGCTCCTTGTTAGGCCGGCAAGGCCGTGGGTGCTGTTGCGTGCTCTACTGTTTTGCGCTCTGGGTGGGCATTGCCCTCTGCCTTGCCAAATTGCCCTTTGTGGGCCGCTACAACTGAGCGCTGGGGAGCTCTCTTGGTCTCAAAGGTGGGAGTCCTCTCCTTGTGGCTTCAAGTTTCAGCTGTTGGAGGAGCGTTATGATCTGCACCTACCCCAAAGATGTGAGATGGGATCCATGTGTCACCCTCTCTTAGGTGTTT